TTCATGTCTTCTGCCCATTTTTTAATTGGATTGAATGCACTGCTTTTTCAATCTCTGTCAAAAGACTGTCTGCTGGAGATCACACATCAAAAACTCATTCTTCAAGTCTGTGGGGGTACTATTTCATAAGTAACTGATGACTTAATTTACAAAATCCATTGGTTTAGACTTTTTAAAAGTAAATATTTAGTATCAGTCTCAAGGAAACACAGTATCTTTGCCCACATCCTTTATCCACATCCTTTGTTCAGTGTTCTCATGAGACAATGTGCAGAAGATTTACACCACAGCACCCTGCAGGAGCCTCAATTGCCACAGCCACTCTGGAAGGTGGCAGCCAGCTCTGCAGAAGAAGGCACGCAGCTGACTCTGGGTCCAATTCTCAAGGAAGGGACAGGCTGATCAGAGCCAGGTGTGACAAACTGGGAGATCTGTACTGGGGAAAAAGTGCTATTAAGGAATGAAAGCCTGGTAATACATGTCATTAAGATTATGTCCTTAAAATTCATGGTCCTGCGATAAGACCCCTGAAACTATAGCCCTCAGGCACCCTTCAGGCCTAGAATTCAACTCACTCCCATGGCTTCCACCCAAACAATAGGCAAGCATATAGGGCGAACATTTACACCAGTTAGATGTACTCCTTAGGACAATCAATCATGGGAGAAGAGAAAGTCAGTATTTGCACAGGGAAACAGGTCAGGGGCAGGAATGCACAGTAAAGGACACAGGGAAGAGGTAACTACAGGGAGGAAGTGGGAGGAGAGCTGTTACATTGTGGGGACTGAAGTCAATGTCATGAAACAAAACGTGTATGAACTGCTGTATGGAAAATGAATTTGCTCTGTAAACTTTCACCCAAATCACAATAAAAATTTAAAAAGAAAAATCATGGTCCTGGTGATGGAAAAGTTTAGAAATGGATGATGGTAATGGTTGAACACCATGATGAACATGATTGATGTCAAAGAATTGTACACGTGAAGTACCCTGAAATGGCAAACGTTTTATTACCTATACACTTAACACAATTAAGATAAAAGTACAATTCATTTTCTAAAATTGAGGAAATGGTTGATTTTTAAAGCTCATAGTACATAGTAAGTGCATAATAAATATTACTGCCATGATTTAAAAATAAAAAACCGCATAATCCTAATTTAACCCAGGAAACCCACTGTACTGCACATAAGATTACAACAGGTGATAACTAATCCCAGTCCAGCTTTTCCTTTCCTGCTTTGCCACCTTCAGTTTACATCCCCATCTTTAGCTGGCAACTGTTTGGGAAATGTAAACCAGTGCAAATTTAATATTAGCTCAAGGAAAACATAATTAAGGAAATACATCTGCCATGAAATTATAGCCCAAAATTGATTTATTAGTCCTTTTTGTGTGTGCTCCTTATATAATTTTGCTTCTCCATCAACATGAAAACTCATGTGGATTATGATACTTCACTTAATTATAATTTCAAGTTGTTACAACTCAATTTAAAATACGGCATATGTAAGCAGAATCAAATTTACATGCTGAGCCTCCTAGCAAAAAAAAAAGTTTCTTTGGCAAAAAAAAAGCCAGTATCTCTCCTTTTGAGTGTTGCCTGGCAATACAACACCTTGCCTGTTAACAAACTAACTTCATTTTGCTAATTTTTAAAATTCTTACTCCTATTATACAAAATCTGTGCACATGAGGGGGAAATTGGGGATTTTTAACGTTTCATAAAAATCTCAAGTTCCACATTTCACTTTTATAAACTACTCTTGGACTCTCTCCTACAAAAGCCCACAAATGAGTGTCTAGAGCTAGCATGCATTCCAATAGTTCAGTTTCAGAAGCTTTGCCATCTTTGTACACCAATGCTGGCTTTGTATAATTGCTGAACTCTTTTTGCATTTTGTACTTATTTTATTAAAAATGAGTGGAAAACAGAAAATGAAAGTTAACAGTGAAAGTTATTATTAAACTGTTAATATTGATGAGCAGATATTTAAAATTAAGACAACATGGAAATGATTATGCATGGTGAAAGCTGTGACACTTTTAACATTAAGTAGACACTGATTGGACTTAAGTCGTTTGGTCGTAATAGTCAGATGTGATGGAAAAGAAAAAAAGAATATCTATGATGAATCAAGAACATATCATCTGAGCATAATTCTTTTTTTAATCTTTGAGAATGGTGTGTCCCTTGTAACCCACTGTTTTTTTGTAAATATTGTTCAGTTCAGAGCCTTTGGCAGAAAAATTTTATCTGTGAAAGTAACTGGTCCACAATAAGCTCAAATGTTATCTTCTTGGGCAATCATTTCTACACCCCTCAGACAATATCAACAGTTCCCTGCTGGGCCCTTTAACATTCTATGCACCACAATAATTATCTGTTGACGTCTTAGGCACTAGAAACTGGGCCCCTCACAGACACTATCTCATTCATCTTCCTGTCAAGTGACCACAAGATGTTTCATGAAATACGTCTCATGCAACAGAAAATACATGCTCATGATTTTTTCTAACCTTGCCACTTTCTCCACAGAAAAGAGGAAGTTCTTCTTCCATATGGACTCAGTTCTGTGTAGTCCCTGAGGAAAAAGTATGTGGTAAAATCAGGATCCCATACATGGCATTAAACCAGGTACATGAAAATCACTTCACTTTTTAGTAACAGAAAATAAGCTAAGCTCAAATATGGAGAAGGGAATCAAGTTTTAGCCATGGAAGTTAACAGCTACAAAAGCCACAAGGTATTCTAACTGATATGAAACTACAGTATGGCCACTTAGGGGAATCCTCCTGCTGAGGCTGGAAAAGTAACCCCACAATAATTGTAGGTTCTTAAATTCAAAAGAAAATGATTAGAAAATGTTCATTTCACAGCTGACTTCCTATGGATAGGGAAAAATACATTTTAGATTTTGGCCAACTTTTCCCTGGGATTGAAAAGTTCCAAATCACTGTGAAGAACAAATTGATCCATTCTCAGCTCCACTCAAGAATATATAATTTGGTAAGCTGGAAAAAGAAAAAAGGAATAATGAATGAAATGAACGAATGAATGGAGTTTTGTTATCATGGATTATAACAAAAAAAAAATCTGAAACATCAGCCACCAAGTATGTAGCAGATGAATTTTTTTGCCTTAATAATTAACTTTGCAATAACTACTCTGTACCACATAGAAGTAATAGCAGAAGCAGCCCCAGCAAAAGACAATCAGTCTATCTGGACTGTGGTTAAAATGTTACACAGTTAAGTATCTCATCACTACAATTAAATTAAATAAATATTCTCTCTCCCCAAAAAAGAAATGTAATGAAATTGAGTTTAGTAATGTTAATTTTTCTGATGTATAGGTTGGGTCCTATTTACATGATCTATATTTCAAATACTAATATTAGAACTTTTTATTTGACATAACTTATAAAGAGTTAAGAGTTTTACAACAGACAGACAGAAACAACAATTAAAAATAAGGTCAAGTCCTAACAATGTTCCTTATCAATCAATGTTCTATATTTATCAATGTTTTGTATGTCCTTGAGGATACTGATGAATTTTACTTTTTTTTCTAAGCTGTAAAAAGGCATCTCACAATATTATATATTCAGAAACATTACAGCGGTTAAACTACAGCAATCTAACAGCAAATTATGATTCCTATTGTTTGGAATCATACCACCTTGGAAACTCAAGGAGGGGTCGCTATGAGTCAAAAACAACTCAACGGCAGTGAGTTTGGTTTGGCTTTTTTTATTGTTTGGAAACAGAACTAAGAAACATGTTTGTTTTTAAAAGGAACTTAGAATTTTCACACTTATAAATTTATAAAACTTGATCTGCTTGACAATATGAAAAGATATCTTGCCACATCTACTGAGTATGTAATCACACATTATCTGTTCTGTTTTATATATTGGTTAAAACCCTAATTATTCTCTAAAATGTCGCAAGACTGCCAAGGAGCTCCACAGTGACATTGCCCCTGATTACTCAACTGGCCCGAGACCCTTCTCTCTGTACTTCCATGGCACTCCTTCTTCTTCTTTTTTTTTTTTTTCCAACTTTATTTAAGGCACTTGTAGGAGCTCTGGTAGTATAGTGCCTAAGGCATTTGACTGCTAACCAGAATGCTGGCAGTTCAAACCCACCAGCCACTCCTAGGAAGGAAGATTGGGCAACCTACTTCCACAGTGATACAGCCTCAGAAACCCAAGAAGGGGTCACTATGAGTGGGATCCAATTCAATGGCAGTGAGAGTTTGAGCTAAGGCACTTATATTCTGCCTCTGCAGTTGTTATTCCTATATAGTTTATCCTGTCGATTATTTTGCAAGCTTTTTAAGAAGGGAGAACATGATTTGTTCATCACTGCAAATACCACAGCACATGGCTCACAGTAGAACACAATATTATTTGCTGAAAGCATCCTTAGAGCATGGCTTTTTGTAAACTGAAGCCTGCCTATATTGAGGATTTCTTTCTTTTGCTTTGTCTTATCCACTCAAAGTTTACAGGAATAAAAAATAAAAAGGAGAAGACGAGGTTTTGTTCTTATGGTTAAAAAAAAAAAAAATTCACTGCCATCAAGTCGACTCCGACTCATAGCAACCCCCATTGGGTTTTCAAGGCAGAAAATCTTTACGGAAGTAGATTGCCCTATCTTCCTTCTGCAGAGTAGATGGTAGGTTTGAACTGCTAACCTTCTGGTTAGCAGTCAAATCCCTTAGGCACTATCCCACCAGAGCTCCTTTGTTATTGTTAGGTGCTGTCTTAAAAGGAAATAAAGAACAGAAAGAAAAGTGATCCAAGTAGAGATGTGATGCCCCCTCTCTTCATATGAGGCCACTTTTGTTCCTAGGATCAAACACAGCGAATTGTGAGGATGGCACAGGACTAGGCAGTGTTTCATTCTTTTGTACACAGGGTCATTATAAGTTGGAACTGACTCAACGGCACCTAACGTCACTACCACCACAAGGGTCATCTTGCTAATATGTTGGTATCATGGAATAGCAGTTCCAGCTTTTACTTCATCTTTAATCAATTTCAAGTATACCTAATAAACTCTTTAAAAATCAGAATGGTGGGAGAAGAAGCCATTTTTTTAAGAGCTTGTTTTACATTCAACGTAACGCGTACATTTAGTTTCATTCCCCATTCGCCATGTCCAACCCTAACCCAGTCTCTTCCCTTCCCTACCCTGAAACCCTCCCCCTGCACCCCTCATAATTATGCACTCCTGTTTGTCCTGCATTTCCTCAGTTTGAATGTTGGTCCTCTGGTGTCCCATGGTCTATTGTTCTAAGGGATATATTACCACAGAGTATGTGGGTGCAGCATCCTGGGTTGAGTAGTCTGTGTATATGTCTTGATTAATCAAATTAAGACACAATTTTGTGTACGTTATATGGAAATTATCATATTCAAAGAAATAGCATTCAATAAGATTCAATTAACACTACATGTAAGATTAACATAAATATTTTTGTTGATCAGAAAGTACTTCAAGATTCAAAACTGATTTGAGATAAATTACCATTGGGAAGATGGCGTCATATCTGTAGTCCACATGTTACTTCCCTCTAGCATCTTAGTGCCTGAAAAACTAGGTGCAGCAGTTCGAAGTGGCGATTCTGGCACTCTGAGTAGCTCAATAAGTCAGAGAATACCAAACTCAGGGGAGTAGGAGTAGAAAAGCGGGAGAGGCAATGTCATCAGCCAGAAAGAACTAAAAATAAGGGAACAAACCCTGAAGAGTGCACCGGCCAGCGAGACGGGGCATCGGAGGGCTCCCTGGGGCACGGGAGAGAGCACACCGGAGGACTTGCAGCCACTCCATGGATCTACCTTTAGCGTCTGCTTTTATCAGTAAACTTGGGACCACAGGAAGGGACCAGAAACCACTTTGGCTCTGTGTGCTGCTGAACTGGGAGAAGAGAGAGAAGTTCACCACAAGTAGGTGGACCATGGATCAATCTTGCAGTGCGGGTAAGGGAAACTAGCCCAGGACACCATTTTGACACAAAGGGGCTTGGAGTACAGGGTTTCTGTGGCTCTCTGAATCTGGCAGAAAGTAGCGGCCCACTAATCATTAGGGTCTTTGCCAAATTTGAGCTGCGGGCCTGGGAATAACAGTATAACATCACCATTAGCAGCCTACTCAAAGCCCTGGAAATGGTAACTGGCGCCTTGGAGCTTTTATTCCATTTTTCTTCCTCCTTTCCCTGCCTCTCCCCTGCCTCATCCAATACAAAACCACATTAACGCACCACAACACCTACCAGCTTGAATCCTAAATGATTCAAAGACAAACAGAGAACTGCACCCATATTCCAAACAGTGATTCCATCCTCACAAAGAAAACTGCAGAGCAACCCAGCACACCTGAATTAATAGGCAAAAATAAAAATATACCAGTGTAGTGCCTAAGGCACTTGACTGCTAATCGGAAGGCTGGTGGTTCAAACCCACCAGCCACTCCTTGGAAGGAAGATGGGGCAATCTACTTCTGTAGTGATACTGCCTCAGAAACCCAAGGAGGGGTTGCTATGAGCCGGGTCCAACTCCATGGCACATAACAACAACAACTCTGTAAAAATATAAAATCATAAAATCAAGACAAAACAAATCAATTCATAACTGTTAAAGACAACTTCAGAAAGTCTAGGAAACAACAGGTAACCTCAAATAAAAAATAAATAAATAAAATAAAAAAACAGGATAAGACAATAAAAATAAAATCCCAAACAAAAGTCTCATTAAACATGGAGGAAGAGGAGGTAATAAAATTATCCCAGAAGGAATTCAGAAGGTATGTTTATAGAACTCTACAAGAGCTCAAGAAAACCCCAAACAGAATCAAGGAGAACACAGACAGTAGTACCCTGTAAGAATTCAGGAAAACAACATAGTAGAAACACAAAAGAATAGGCTAGAACTGGCTGAAGAATGCATTTCCCAACAAGAAGATAAATCCCTTGACACCAGCCTGTATAAAGAAAAATCAGAACAAAGATTTAAGAGAAATGAAGAGAACCTAAGAGTTATATAGGATGACATGAAAAGAAACAATATATGCCTCACTAGGATTCCAGAGCAAGAAGAGGCAAAAAAAAAAAAGCACTGAGAAAATTGTGGAAGACTTACTAACACAAAACTTCCCCCATATCATGAAGGAAGAAAAGATATTTGTTCAAGAAGCTCAAAGAACCCCATACAGGAAAGATCCCAAGAGAAAAACACTGAGGCATATCGTAATCAAACTCTCCAAAACCAAAGACAAAGAATCTTGCGAGCTGCCCAGGACAAAAGAAATACTACATATAACAATCAAACAGTTAGGCTGAGTTCTGATTACTCAGCAGAAACCATACAGGCAATGGGACAACATATATAAAACACTGAAGAAAAAGAACTTCCAACCAAGAACCTTATATTCAACCAAACTGTCCATCAAATATGAGGGCAAAATCAAGACATTCTCAGACAAACAGAAATTAAGGGATTTTGCGAAAACCAGACCAACCTTACAAGAAATGCTTAAAGAAGTACTTACAATAGAGAACCCACAACAGAGAACCATGAAATTAGGACACCATGACATCAACATTAAAACTAAATCAGAAATAGATGCTCAAAATAAGACCATGAAACACTGTACACTAAAAAACAAGCAAGTCAGTCTTCACACAATAACAGCAACTAACCAAATAGAGGGGATAAAAGTTCTAGGTACAAACCTTCCAAATGGAGAGCAAAACAGGATGATGTCCTCATAGAACACAATGTTCCAAAAATATAGAGACAAGAATTCACTCCAAGGTAACCACAGAGAAAATTAACATTTTCTCTAAGCAAATCCAGAAGGAAGGAAAACATATTGGTTTAGTAAGCACAAAACCTCCAATAAAGAAGAAAAAAGAGGTAACACTTGACAACAAAAGGAACT